ATGTGATTAAGGGCTTGATAACTCTATGCTTAGTGAGTATGTCTAAGGTTGCAACCTAGTTTAGGTAACCAAAACATGCAATACTTTGATAAGTTATTCTTGCCTATTGATTTCATAAAAATTCTTGAAGGTAATGTAGCAATTTTATGTTGTTGCATTTCATGGTTATGTGTATATATTATTCCCCAAGTAAATCATGTATTAACATGCTTATGGATAGGTAGTGGATTCATTTCCCTAGCCCTCTCTACCTAGATCTCCTTCCTTTGCATTTACTAGCATTCTTGTTTTATGCACACTTCAATTACTAGCTTAGTGACAAACCAATTAACAACTCCTTATTACACCTTATCATTCTTAAATAACTCTAGATACTTAGGTTGCCTTAAGACTAGCGCAGTCCCAGTGGTTCAACTTACCCGACCAATAGCCCTATTTTACAATGATTCGTGCTATTGCGAAGGTTGATGTTTAATTGACCAACCGATCAGTGGGCAAGACATTACTAATTTTCCATCCTCCATTACAAAATCCTTTCTACATCCCTGTGTCACTCGAAGAGCCCTACCATAGCTCTTCGTTGCTTGGATAAAGGCTCAAGGCCCATTAATTGATGATTTGCTACTACATTGATCCGAGGCTCATGATATGTTGGTCGTCGAACTGTGATGATCAGAGGGCCAAAGCCTGTTGGCCAACAAGCTATGAAGAGGTCGGATCAAGGTTCAAAGCCCGTCGATTGACGAATTGTAATAAAGTCGCATCGAGGTTCAAGGCCCGTCGATCGACGAATTGTAATAAGGTCGGATCGAGGTTCAAAGCCCGTCGATCAACGAATTATGATAGGGCCAGATCGAGGTTCAAGGCCCGTCGATTGGCGAATTATGATAGGGTCGGATCGAGGTTCAAGGCCCGTCGATCGACCAATTATGATCGGGTAGGATTGAGGTTCAAGGCCCGTCGATTGACGAATTATGATGGGGTCGGATCGAGGTTCAAGGCCCGTCGATTGACCAATTGTGATGGGATCGGATCGAGGTTTAAGGCCCGTCGATCGACCGATTATGATGGGGTAGGATCGAGGTTTAAGGCCTGTCGATCAACTAATTGTGATGGGGTCGGATCGAGGTTTAAGGCCTGTCAATCGACTGCGCAGATGGCTCGTGGTTCAAGGCCCAGGATCCATCAACCGAATGTTTGGTTCAAAGTTTGAGGCCCAATGGTCGACTACTACTCACCTTGCTGAGGTGGATTTTATCAGGGTGTTGAGACTATTTAACTTGACCTTTGGTGACGTGGCTGAAACACGTCCACATTTAGTCCCCCTGCAAGTGATGTTTTGAATTTTGAATTTTGAAAAAAATAGAAACGGCGCGTGCATAAAGGCGTGGGGATTAATGGTGTTGGAAACCGGTACGGCTTGTTGGTTTTGGCGGTTAAACATTTAATGGGAAAATGATAAGACACGGCTGTTGAGTGTCGTCGTCTTCCCCAAAACGAAACCCTAATTGTCTATATAAAGGCCAGGTTCAAAGACAAGAAGAGTGTTGCAAACAGAGGAAGAAAAAATACAGTGCAAGGAAGGAAAAAAAAAAATACAGTACAGTGCAAGAAGAATTGTGTAAGAGTGGCGAGGTGATTGGTGCAGGAGTAGTACGGGTGTTTGAGAAAATGACGAAGAGAAAACAGTTCAGTAAAACCGGTGAACCAGTGCCGGAAGTACCACTGGATGAGGAATGGAAGCGTGCTTCATTCTTTGGACTAGTGGATAGATTCTAGACGGCGACGGGGGATATGGCCAGAGACGAGATTGACAGCAGGGTAGCCTAATTGATGGAAGAAGAAGCCACCTTGGAAACAGGTGCCCGGTCGCCAGCGGACTGTGTACACCGGCTTGCCATTGAACAAGGGATGTACCCTTATTGTTTTATTGAGTTTAAAATACTGGTGGGTCCATGTGCAGGTTAGGAGGAGTGGTCTGAGCACATTTTCAGTCACGCTATGTATGTACAGTGGTTGTGGCAGGCGCAAGTTGCACCTAGCCATGCTTTTGTCCCGGAAGTTGAAAATGCCCCGAGATGGGCCAGGGTTGGAACTATTGGTATCAAGGTGGTATAATTCGACACACACCTTTGTGGCAAAGTAAGGGGATTTTACACCCACGCTAGAGGACGTGGCCCAATTTCTTGGGCTATATGTCATGGGTAAGGGGTTTACAGTCCCCCTGACGATGGATGCAGCCGAGAAAGGAATAATGGCTGCGTTGGAAGAAAGGTTGAAGAAGACCAAAAACTATGGATCCTTCTTCAACACAAAGGGAGCGAAATGCAATGAGAGGGAAGAGGGAGCCAGGAAGAGCATAATAGGGGCATAGATACGTTATTGGTTCAAGGATTTGCAGCCAGCCTTCAAGGGGGAGAAGTCAGAACGTCCTTTTGTCGATGGGGACAAGATTGGGCACCCGGTAGAGCTCGCAGCATATGAACTGTGTTGGCTATCCATGTATGTATTCCCAGGCACTCCAGATGATGCACCCTTAATTCAATGGTGCCTAATTGACGTAAAGATCATAAGTGGTGTGGCGATCCCCTTGGGGCCATTATTCTTGGGGACATTGTACCATCGACTAGACATGATCGCAGAGGATAGTGCACGCTCAATCGATACCCCATGGTATCCTATATGGCGACTGGGTTTTTACAGATACATCTATACTAGCACTTCTCTGCTTACGGGCCTGTCCCCCTTGAGTTGAGCAATCAAGGAGCGCGAGGGAGGCGCTGGAGTGGGCGATGCTGCAGAGTACCACTCGAAGAGATGATTGACTCTGAGCGAGAGTTTGTTTTCAGACCTTACAGGGAGGATATAGCTGGAGTAGCAGACTTGGGGATATACTAGGAGGAGGCGAGGGTATACACACCAAGAACATAATTGAGAGACCCAAACGAACAGACATTTGCCTTAGTGGTACTGCCAGGCTATTTGCCTGGATGATTTGACCTTGGCGATGTGCTGAAGGTGTACAACCCTAGACGTGTACCAAGATAGTTTGGGTATGACCAAGGGGTGCCAAGAGAGTATGACTTAGTGGAGAAATATGAAGAACTTGAAGAGGCCCTCTTTTGATTCAGTGTATTGTATGATCTAGTAGAAGAGAACGTTGGCAGCATTGTGATTCCTACACGAAGTTACCAGGGTGATATTACAGGGAGCTATTGACAGTACTGGATGAACTGTTTAGGCTCGTTCAGGATGTTTTGTTTACAGCTCCCTCATCCATACGCCCCGGTAGCCGTATATAAAGACGATGTCTCTCTGCGCATGCCTCGACCAGGGTGGCGAGGACATAGGTCGATAATGGCTCCGCTAGCCTCGAAGATAGGTGAGGTGGCGTATGATGCTGTACCGAAGGCTGTTGAGCCTGCCACATCAGTCTAGCCAAGGAATAGCAAGAGGGCTGCAAAGGCAGCTCTGCCCAAGCCCAAAGAGAAAGCCATAGTGTCAGACGATGAGGAGGAGGAGACAATTGCTAATCTAAGGCGGCGAAACCAGAAAGCCTCGATAATTGACTTATCAGAGGATGAGTCAATGAGAGAGACAGAGGATGTGGTGGAGCTGAGTGATGATGTCTTGCCGAACGTAGAAAAGGTGAGAGAAACGGCAGAGGTACCGATCGCTGGTAAGAAGTTTACCAGGGGCGTTGGGGCGGCGTTAGCTGCCGATGGCTCGAAGAGAGATATCATGAGAAGATTAATGACAGCTGAAAGCCCTCTGCCTCCCATTCGAACAGCAATAGGTAAGTAGTGGAGTAATGATGGTTTGATTTTTTTATGTATGGAAATGAAACTTATGCATTAGGTATGTTGGTTGTCGGTCATCGGCCAGGGATGGGAAAGAAAATGCCAGTAATAGTTTTGCGTATGCCGCGAGTGGAAGAACCCTCGGTGCCAAGATCGTTGACGCCAATGCTACTGTTAGAGTACCCAGCGGGCGAGGCATCTGTTGCAAAGGAGGAGGAGGTTGTGGAAGAGCAGGCCTCCGAACACACCGTGAGGCTTGAAGACATGGAGGTTGAGGCACAGGCGGGCCAGCATGGGGTAGAAGTGCTACAAGCACAATCTTCCTTGGAAGGTTCTAACAGTACGTTAAATAGGTGAGTGTCGGACGAGGAGGCCGAAAGTGGAAAGAATAGTGCAATAGGGGAGGTGCCCCCAGTCGAGAGAATGTAGCAAATGGTAGAAACGGCACACGCAGTGGTGGTAACAGGGAAGATAGAGGCTGTCTGGCAAGGAGTGATGATTGGTGCACACTTTATCCCATTGCTGGAGGTAGCGAACCAAGCGCAGCCAACGATGGTAGAGGCGATTGAAAGGAGACATCCAATGTTCCGTCGCTTTGGGTACGAAGCCTTAAGGCGAGTACTCGAGATATTCATGATGGTGGCACGGGGAGATGGGCAAGAAGAACTAATACATGAGGCCCACGAGCTAATTGGGCTGCTCAAGGACCGAATAGAGATAAAATGGTTAGATAGAAGACTGGACGCCTGCGAGCGAGTTATGGGGCAAGCTTTCTTAGCCAAAAAGATGGCGGAGTTAGATGCTCGAATTGTGAGAGATAAACGGATGATTGAGGGGATCTAGACTCACTTAGCGATGGTAGAGCAACAGCAGGCCCTAGTCGAAGAGATATACAACGAGCTTGGTGGCATTGTAACTATTATGTTATCTTATGAGTAGGCTAGTGATTGTAAATGACTGACCATTAGGTCCATAATGTATTTTGCCATAAATTGAATGAAAATTTGAGCAGTTATGGTAATATAAATAACTTGCATATGTATATTACTTGTGATATGGATCTAATGCCAAGTACAAGAGAAATAACTAACTGTGGTAAAGCTTTAACCAACTAGAATTTATAGGTTCGGCCTTGCGCCCATCACCCTGCAGTCTGCAGTAGCCACTGGGTTGGACCTCGATGACAACATAGGGCCCTTCCTATTTTGGGGTGAACTTTGGGGTAGAGGTGTTGTGCATAATGTGTTTAGCAGCTTTGAGAACAAGGTCGCCTACCTGGAAGGTTCGAGGTCGCACATGCTTGTTATAAGCCTTAGCCAGAGTGTGTTGATAAACCTTGAGATGTTGTCGTGCTAACTCCCGTCGTTCATCTAAGGCCTTGAGATGAGTGAAGTGGTCAACCTCGCTTCGAGCGGCCAAAGCAGTAGCAGGAATGGCAATCTCGATGGGGAAAATAGCTTTGGTACCGTATAGGAGGGAAAAAGGAGTTTGGCCTGTGGCGCACCTTTTGGAGGCGCGATGGGCCCAAAGAGCTAACGGCAGCTGATCGACCCAATTAGATTTATGCTCAGCGACCGTGCGATTGAGGATTTTAAGGAGAGATTTGTTGGTTGCTTCGGCTTGGCCGTTGTAAGCAGAAGATCGGCGCTGTGTGATATTATATTGCTGAAGAAGCTGAGCAACCCGATAATTGACAAAGGGGGTGCCATTGTCTGAGAGAATGATCGCTGGGATGTCGAACCAACAAATGATATGTTTATGAATAAAAGCTGTAACAGCGATACTTATAGCATGGCGCAAGGGGATGGCTTCAACCAATTTGGAAAAGAAATCGGTAGCCGTGAGGATCCAATGCATTTGACGAACTGTAGGGTTAATTGGGCCGATGAGGTCCAGACCCCAAGTGTGGAAGAGCCAAGGGGCAGTAAGTGGATGAAGTACCGTTGGGGGGGTATGGATCTGATGGTGATGGTATTGACATGGTTAACACCGTTAAACAAGCATTTTAGCATCGCGCTCCATAGTTAGCCAGTAGACCCCTCTATGGATTAGGTGTTGAAACAATTTGTATGCACCCTGATGCTCGAGGGATTAGGCTTGATGAAGTGCTTCACGGATCTCAGCGCCAGTAAGTTAACACAAGAGGTGCCCTTCGTGAGAGAGGCGAAACAATTGACCATCACAAACTTGGAAGCGTGGCGCTTGGTGTTTAAGCTTGGCGGCCAAGGTTGGATCATCTGGGCGATGACTATGTTGAAGGTAACGAATAAAGGGGATTCACTAATCAGCCAGATCGAGCTCGAGGACCTCAACTTCATCAGGGCATTTTTGGAAAGTGACACATACGCGCTGCAACGCAACGGCCTGACTGGACATTTGAGGCCAGTAATAGCCTTGGCACTGGAGCCGTCGATAAAAAGCGATATTAGTAGTGGCACAATGTTGCTGATGAACGCAGTGAAGAACTTCACCGGCCTCTGCGTCCCCTAGACAGCGACTGAGGATGCCAGAGGGGGATCGATGATAAAGGACTCCTTGGATCAGATGAAAGCGTTTGAGCTGGCGAGAGATAAGGAACTGGTGAAGGTCTGCAATTGATCAATAATTGGGCGGCGCCAATTAGTGATGTCTTCGAGAGGGAGTAGACTGGCGATGGCAGGCTGCGTTTGTTTATGAATAGTGATCTGTTGGGTGGGGCAGAGATGTCAAGTTTGGATACGAGCGTGGCAAAAGTATCGGGTATCAATTAACAGATTGAGAGACATGAGCCAAGCGAATGGTGGTGAACCGAGAGAGAAGCTTTTGAATGATAGTGTGATACGAGGCTAAGGAGGGCTCGCGAATTACGAACTCACCCGAAGTCTATTTGACAATCAACTTTGAATTGCCATCTATGCATAACCGGGAGATTTGTTTATCGAGTGCTGTTAATAGCCCCAAGATGAGTGCTTCATATTCAGCTTCATTGTTGGTGCACTTGAAGTCAAGTTTGACAATAGCGGTGGAGGTGAGGGTCGGGCAGGAGAGTACGATGCCCGCGCCTCCGCCCCGTGCTGTGGAAGAACCATCGAAAGACAAGTGCCATTCCTAAGTTTGCTCAAGGGAGGCAACCTGTAGGTCGTCGAGGGGTAGCTATTCATCCACTGGCTCATGAGTTTCATTGGGGAATTGAGCAAGCAAGTCTACGAGGGCTTGACTTTTGATAGCCTTAGGTTGCTAGCAGGAAATATTAAATTCTGCTAAGGAGAGAAGCCATCGTGTGGCCTTGCCTATGAGCATAGGTTTGGAGAGGAAGTGCCTGTAGGGATCACATTTAGTAACGAGAATGATGCGATGGGCGAGGAAGTAGTGCCGGAACTTATGCACGGCGAAGACCAAGGCTAGGCAATGCTTTTCAATAAGGGAATACCGTTCTTCAGCATCAAGAATCAGACGACTAATGTAATAGACTGGGCATGCTTGATTATTGACTTCCTGTGCGAGCAGTGCCCCAGTAGATCGAGGTGTGGAGGTAACATATAGGAAAAGGGGCTGGTCTTTTTGCGGAGCATGCATAATCTACGGGGACAATAACACGTGCTTGATCCGCTCGAAGGCCGCTTGATGAATGTCTATCCAGAAGAACTTCGCTTTCCCTTTAACAAGGGTGCTAAAGGCATGTGTTACCTCAGCGAGGGCTGGCAGGAATCGACGAAGGTAAGAAACTTGGCCCAAGAAGCTTTTCAGCTGCTTAGAAGTCGTTGGAGATGGCATATCAAGAATCGCTTTGGACTTAGCTGGATCAACTTCAATACCCTGGCGAGTGACCATAAAACTTAAGAATTTTCCATGGTTAACACCGAAAGCACATTTGAGGGGATTCATTTTGAGGTTATACTGGCGGTAACGCTCGAACACTTAGCGTAAGTCATAGAGATGATTGGCTCTCTGTTTGGACTTAACGACCAAATCGTCCACATAATCTTTGAGATTGTGATGAAGTAAATCATGGAAGATAGCAGTCATAGCTCGCTGGTATGTGGCACCTACATTTTTTAAACCAAAAGGCATGACAGTAAAGTGGAAATTACCCAGAGGAGTTCGGAAGGCTATCTTTTCGGCATCACCCTCGACCATCCGGATCTGATTATAACCACTAAAGCTATCCATGAAGGAAAACATTTCATGGCCTGCAGTGCCATTGACCAGGGTATCCATAATGGGCAAGGGAAAATCATCCTTTGGGCAGGCCTTGTTAAGGTCCTGGAAATTGACACACACCCTGATTTGGCCATTCTTCTTCTGCACAGGAACAATGTTGGCCAACCACGTGGGATGAATGATAGGCTTGATGAAATTGGCTGCTAATAACTTTTGGACCTCATCTTTGATTTGCAACTCAAACTCTGGCTGGAAAGTTCATGAGCCTTACTTAATTGGGCGAACGTTGGGCAAAACATTGAGATGGTGGGAGACCAATGAAGGGTGAAGCCCTGGCATCTCGCTATATGTCCATGCAAATACATCGCGAAATTTCTACAAGAGAGAGACAAAGTGAGAGCTATCTTGAGAGCTGAGTGTACCCGAGAGGAACGTGATGCGAGGCTGCTCATGGGGATGGGTAAGATTAACTTCAACAAAATCTGGCAGTGGTGCTTTCTCGAGAATCCGAGGCTGATATTCTGGGGAGTCAGTAGAGTGAACCTCTGCTGACCCCGGACATTGTCATAAACGGTAGATGACATGACCGTTGGGGAGGCGAACACATTTGCATTGTAACGACCCGGTCATTTGCCTTCCTTTCCTTTTTCCTAAAATTTTACGGATAATTTTTTTTCCGTTTAATTTTTTTTTCTGAGCTCTATTTCTTGTCACATAGTGTCGTCTGGAGTGCTTGGAAATGGTTTCTGAGACTTTTTCATGTGGATTGACAACTTCCTTTGAGGACCGAGTCATTTCTGCATTTTCATTTTTCAGACACTATGCACTTTTCGTCATTTTCCTTGTTTCGTCCTTTTCCCTATTCTGTCTTTTCTCTGTTTGTCACTTTGTTGGCAAAACCTCACCTTTTGTGCTCGGAGTTAGTTTTTCACTTTATTTGCCTTCATCCTTAGTGGTTTCCACGAAATACGTATCTTTACTTTTGCAAGAAAGTACTCTGGTTGCTCCCGATGTCCATAGAGGCATGGATGCATAGTTCTTTGAAATTATTTTCTTTTCTTTGGGTGTTTTTCGTAAATATCTTTTGAAGATATTTTATTTCAGGGGTTTTTAAGAAAATATTTTTGGAAGATATTTTCATTCTGGGGCATTAGTGCAGTTTTCACTTTTTGGAGGGGTTGTTGTGCAATTAACGAAAATTATTGCAAAAATACCTCGTCTGGAGCCTAGATCCTCATACGGGATTCATTTTCACATTTTGTCGAGTCGTGTACTCTTAGAATTTCATACTGGTCGTTTTTCTCCAGTTTCAGAGTTTTTGACCCCGGTTGCCGCTGAACTTGTTCGGGGCATATCTCTCTACTCGAGACTCAGTTTTCAATGTTGTTTCTTCCATTATTCATATTTTATCATTTTGAATCTTTTTTGTTCACAGAGTTTTGCCGTTTGAGCGCGTTTTCTCAAATTCCACTTTTCCAAACCCTGCGGGGCCCTTTCGGGGCACTTTTTGAGACTTACTATAAATAGGATGACTTAAAGTAAAAAATCACTTTTCACTTCATCTTCCTCCCTCTTTGGCTGGCAGCCATGGGAGCTCCTTGGGCTGCCACCCTTTCTCCTTCTCTTCCACTTGATTTCCTAAATGAAAATTTTTCGGCCTTAACGTTTATCGTTCCCCTCGACGTGCTCTATCTTTCCCCCTTATTAGAATCCATTTCTGACCATTTCTTGAGTTTGGGTTTGAATTCAAATTGTGATTTTCATGGGACTTCCTTCGGATTCATGTAGATCGTGTTGTCCCCGACAAAACCCTTCGGTATCGTCGGATTCGGAGCACTTTTCTTCCGGTGGTGATTTGAAATTTTCATCTCAAATTATGGTAGGGGGTGTTATAATTTACTTTCTTGTTATATTACATGCTTGTGATGCTTATACAACTTGATTACATGCTTGGATATCAAAATCTAGAGATTTTATTATTTATTTTTCTTGTGAAGGATTTAATTTTCCCAGTTATCCATAACTTTATTTAAACATGTGGCATGGTAGAATATTACCCCTTGATATCTTGATTGACATATATTAAATCTAGATCATTTGGACAAGTAACATAAATCTTATTTAATATTTATCTTGAATAAAATATTAAATCATGTGGCCTTAACTAGCTTGAAATCAATATGTGTTAGCATATTATATTAGGCCCTAGCATGCTCTTCAACATAGGTGAATTTGAGCGTAATTGGAAGTGTTTTGAAACTAGTAATATTTAATTAATTAGATTAATTAAATTGCTTTAAGTGCACTATTCATTTCATTGGATTTCTAACTTGATATTCTTGATGTGCATGCCATATAGTTTCACATATATTAAATTTAGAATATTTGATTAGGTTTTGAAACCTTTCATTTATTATTTTTCTTGTATTAAAGTTTAATACTTATGGCCGTAACTTGCATAGAATGTACTTATATCATGCTTTTAAATCAAGTCTTGACATATTTAATAACATACATTAATTTAAGATCATTTGGACGAGTTTCAAAATCTAGAGATTTTATTAAAATGAAATAATTAAAATCCATTCAATGGTTCTATGCACTTGATTAAGTTTCCAACCTTGTATTCATGATTTCCTTGATAAGTTCCTTCACGTGCATCAATTTGAGAATAATCAGATAAGTTTTGAAACTTATATTTACCTATCTTCCATGTA